GAAGGTATGCCAACGCTGTCACAATGCGCTGAACATCTGGCGGTAAAACGATTAATCCAAACCAAGGCACTCCCACCTGGGACGTAAAAATACACATTGGATTATATTTGGGGTAAAGGCTATGTAGGAAAGATTGCATGACCATCACCCAAGGCGGACGCACTAAGACTGGTTGGAGTAATGCTCCCACAAAACGCACTGCCCAGCATGCCCATCGCGCTTGCACATGTTGTCGTACTGCTAATGCCCCAAAACCGCCCAAAGTTGGATGGCCATATAACAAATATTTAGGAACCCCGGTGAGTCGTCTTTCTTGTGCGACCGGTCCGAGGTTCCTATCAATAAGCTTGGCCGCTTTAGCCTCAATATTCATGAGTTTAGCTTCTGGGGGAAACCCCCCGTGTTCCATATGCCACGTAAAACGATGCAGCCCATATGCAGCCGCTGCATGTGCACGCCCAAAAATGGAAAGATTTAACACAGAAATGCGTCGAAACCGAGCCCAAATTTTGTCTAGTTGCACATCCCAGTCCCTGACTGTGGTTTCTCCCACGTCCGTAAAAGGTAGATTGAGAGCCGTAGCCATATGTACGACCTTCAAGTCTTGATTTATTGTTATATGATGTGGGTGGGTGCCGAGAGGTAACAGCTCAACCTTATCCAGGTTAAGTTGCTGTCCAGAAGCCTGTGCGTACACCCTCATACAGTCAAGGAAAGCCGGAATTGCTTGGATTCCTTCTAAAACAACTTCCGTATCATCAGCAAATTGCACACCTGTAACCAATTCTGAATTATTTTGGGGTAAATGAATCCCCACTCGGGGAGTGATTTGTTCCTCCCTAACTCATGTGACTGAAGCGGCCAGGCCAGAATGGCTGTGATAGAGGCGCTGAGGGACCGCCACCTTGTCATCCCAGGAATAGATCTGTGCGATGTGGGGAGGTCGGAGGTGTGTGGAGTGGAGTGGAAGTGGAAGTGATCCTCAACGATGCTACACCGGGCAAGGCACCCAAATCTAGGTGGTATCCCTATTGAATTATACGAGGTGTGCCGGAATGAGATGGGACCACTCCTTGCTGAACTATACACAGCCATTGGCCGAGCCAAAATACCCCCAGTTGGCTTCTTGGAAGGTGTCATCACCAGATCTAGATCTCCCGTTTCACCCTGGGCAGGTAGGTGTCGGCCGATTTCCTTGTTGGGCGCGGACTACAGACTTCTGGCAAAACATTTAGTTAGTTTGCTGGGTCCAGTACTATGGCGAGTTATCACGCTCGAGCAGTCCGCCTTTCTGCTCCGGTAGGTGCAAATGTTGATAGGTGCAAATGTTCTTTTCCCTCACCTTATGGCCAGAACAGGCCAATATTGATTAATCGTGTTTCCTGACTTTTTGGATGTTGCTAAAGCTTACGATTCTTTAGATCGTATTTTTTGGTTTGAAGCAATGGATACCATAGGGGCAGGACCAGGTTTGATGAGTTGGGCTCGGTTACTTTTATCCGATACAGCGATGCTGTATCATCGAAGGCGGTGGGTAGTGGCGCTTCCTTTCCCATCAAGTTGCTCTCACAGTCATAAGGCACATATTGATCAAATGGATACGGTGACCACACCACGTGTGTGTGTGTGTGTGGTTGTTAAGGTGGGCTTCAGACTCCCGAAGCTGACGGGCCAGCTGACTGTGCACTGCACTAGAGACTAATATACAAATTAGACAATCACCTAGATGAGACAACTAAAGGCAATTAGACAGTCAAACCGCGATGAAAGGGAAGGCTGAGGACCCCCAATTATTATTGAAATAGGCCTGAGCCTGACAAGTTGGGTGTCGGCTTCAAGGAAGCCGGGTAAAGGAGGGGGCCCCCCTGCATCCGTACAGGCCGGTAGCTAGGGTGGCAAGTGTGACAATTTATGGATAATGTCAACATGGTGGGAGCTAGTGTTTGTGTAACGAATGTAGTTTCGAGCGATTTCGGGACTATTCCGTGGCACACCCATCGGTTGCTGACCTGTGTGCTGTCTGTGATGTTTAGGTCTTGAAGCACCCGCGGCTACAGGAAAGCACTCTACTGCCACAAGCTTCATCACGGCACGCTGCAACTCTTTGGACGCCCCATGCATTGGCCAAAGTAAATGGACAAACAAGCAGCTTGTGTATTTCATACAGAAATGAAAGCAAATTTGGTGGTGGCAAGTCGGAAGGCCCGTCAAAACAAAGCCTCGACACCAGGGTTTGGGTAACCGACTCAATGGGGGGCACCATCGCTTCCCTAGATTCTACACTCAGAGGCAACAAAAGACTAGCCGCCTGTCGCCAATGCGCCGGGATATCAGCTAAGAGATCGACAATGGCATCCATACATTCGTGCCATTTATGAGAGGTACAATGGGATTTAGCTAGTGGGGTCCGCGGTTGGAGGTATTGGTCCACTGTTTGATGCCATGCCCTGCGCATTGCTAGGCCTGCCTGGTCCAGTGTGTGCACAACCACATTTAGAACATCCCGCGCAAGAAGAACATCCCCCAACGTGTTCAATGCTTTACAGCCCAGGAGTGCTTGGTGTCGAAACACCAGCCCTGGGTTGTGTTAACTGACGGGACACTCGACCTCTTTTCCAGAGGAACAGGGTTTCCCCACAGAGGCAAATTCCAACACCACACATTAGGAACTAACGGATGAACATCAACATCTTCAGCTGGTGGGAGGTATGCCAACGCTGTCACAATGCTTTGAACATTCGGCGGTAATTTAACGATTATTCCAAACCAAGGCACTCCCACCTGGGACATAAAGAGACACATAGGATTGTACTTCGGGTAAAGGGTATGCAGGAAAGAGTGCATGACCAAGACCCAAGGCGGACGTACTAAGACTGGTTGGACTATTGCCCTCACAAAACGCACCACCCAGCATGCCCATCGCGCTTGTACGTGTTCTCGAACTGCTAATGCCCCAAAACCGCCCAAAGTTGGATGTGGCCATATAACAAGTTGACGCGCCGTTGATCCGCTAGATTTGGTTGGATGCTGGTGGTGAGTTGCCAAACTCAAAGAGTACACTCTGAAGTCGGATGGGGTGAATGGCTTAGGGTGCCCCTCTAGCAGGGGAGAGCAGGGAATTGCCTCGGGAAGGAGGCCACTGGTGAAGCTTAACCACCCTGTAACAACATCAACAACAAATATTTAGGAACCCCAGTGAGGCGTCTGCCATGTGCAACCGGGCCGAGGTTCCTATCAATAAGCTTGGCAGCTTTAGCATCTATATTCATATGTTTCACTTCTGGGGGAAACCCCCCGTGCTCCATATGCCACGTAAAACGATGCAGCCCATAGGCAGCCGCTGCCTGTGCACGCCCAAAAATGGAAAGGTGTAGCATAGAAATGCGTTGAAACCGAGCCCAGACTTAAGCTTTGTCCAATTGCACGTCCCAGTCCATGACTGTGGTGTGTCCCACATCCGTAAAAGGCAAATTGAGTGCCGTTGCCATGTGTACAGCCTTCATGTCATGAGCTACTTTGACTTCGTGTGGCTGGGTGCCGAGAGGTAAAAGCTCAACCTTATCCGGGTTAAGCTGCTGTCCAGAGGCCTGCGTGTACACCCTCATACAATCAAGAAAAACCGGAATGTACTCAATCGGCTTGTACTCGTATCCATGCTGTGGCTCGGGTGTGGGCCCAGGATAGGTTGGATGTTGATATTGTTACAGGGTGGTTAAGCTTCAGCAGTGGCCTCCTTCCCGAGGCAATTCCCTGCTCTCCCCTGCTGGATGTTATTCGTTTACAAGAGACGCATCGTATGGGGGATCAGGATCTGCAAATTCTGACTCGAGAACAGTTGTTGGCGGTGCAGAAAATAGGGATGCCGGGATGGGATATATTAGCTCAATCCCCCACTCTCAACACCCGGATGGCTGGAGTATTAGCGCTAGTGTGCAAACATCTTTATCACGATTGTGAAGTAGTACAAACACCGGCACGTTTTTTCCCGGATAACATTCCCCAGGGCCGTGCCGTGCTGATTTCATTCACCTGGTGTGGTCACCGTATCCATTTGATCAATTTGTACCTTATGACATCTCGGTTTGTTTGAAGCAATGGATACCATAGGGGCAGGGCCAGGTTTGATGAGTTGGGCTTAGCTACTTTTATCCGATACAGCATCGAAGGCGGTAGTTAATGGCTTCCTTTCCCATCAAGTTGCTCTCACCGCAGGTGTGCGGCAGGGGTATCTATTGGCACCTTTGCTATACTTTGTTTGTCATGCAAGCGCTTCTATGCTGGTTACAGTACAACCGAGTGGCGGTTCATTTACCCCAAATAAATACAGAAATGCTTACAGTGGTGCAATTTGCTGATGATATGGAAGTTGTCTTAGAGGGAATGGAGGCAATTCCCGATTTCCTTGATTGTATCAGGGTGTACACGCAGGCCTCTTAACCCGGATAAGGTTGAGCTTTTACCTCTCGGCACCCAGCCACACGAAGTCAAAGTAGCTCATGACATGAAGGTTGTACACATGGCAACGGCACTCAATTTGCCTTTTACGGATGTGGGAGACACCACAGTCATGGACTGGGACGTTGTAGCAGCTGACCGCTGAAAAGGTCTCTCGAGTTGCTGGCGGTCGCGCTCTGCGCGTATTTATAGCACCGGACTATGTACCGGCTGCTACAGACGTGCAATTGGACAAAGCTTAAGTCTGGGCTCGGTTTCAACGCATTTCTATGCTACACCTTTCCATTTTTGGGCGTGCACAGGCAGCGGCCGCCCATGGGCTGCATCGTTTTACGTGGCATATGGGAAGGGCCCCCCCCCCGAAGTAAAACATATAAATATAGATGCTAACGCTGTCAAGCTTATTGATCGGAACCTGGGCCCGGTTGCACATGACAGGCGGCTCACTGGGGTTCCTAAACATTTGCTATATGGCCACATCCAACTTAGGGCGGTTTGGGGGCATTAGCCATTCGAGAACACGTACAAGCGCGATGGGCATGCTGGGTGGTGCGTTTTGTGAGGGCAATAGTCCAACCAGTCTTAGTACGTCCGCCTTGGGTCTTGTCATGCACTCTTTCCTGCATACCCTTTACCCGAAGTACAATCCTATGTGTCTATTTACGTCCCAGGTGGGGTTGCTTTGGTTTGGGGTAATCGTTTTACCACCAGATGTTGCAGCGCATTGTGACAGCGTTGGCATATCTCCCCCCAGTTGAAGATGTTGATGTTCATCCGTTAGTTCCTAATGCGTGGTGTTGGAATTTGCCTCTGTGGGGAAGCCCTGTTCTTCCGGAAAAGAGGTTGAGTGTCTCGTCAGTTAACACCACCCAGGCTGGCGTTTCGACACCAAGCACTCCCGGGTTGTAAAGCATTGAATACGTTGGGGGATGTTCTTTGTGCACACGACGCTTTAGATGGAGTTGTGCACACAGTGGACCAGGCAGGCCTAGCAATGCGCAGGGCATGGCATCAAACAGTGGACCAATACCTCCAACCGCGGACCCCACTAGCTAAATCCCATTGTACCTCTCATAAATGGCACGAATGTATGGATGCCATTGTCGATCTCTTAGCTGATATCCCGGCGCATTGGCGACAGGCGGCTAGTCTTTTGTTGCCTCTGAGTGTAGAATCTAGGGAAGCGATGGTGCCCCCCATTGAGTCGGTTACCCAAACCCTGGTGTCGAGGCTTTGTTTGAGATGGGGGTTAGGGCCTCCAATCAGATTTCAAGATTTATCCGTTAAATTAGCGACTAATATGCAACTTTCGCCACTTTCTGTGGCTCGCTGAGTAGCCCACACCCTCTTCATTAAAGAGGCGATGGGCTCTTCGGAGGTATTGGGTGAGGCTATTCTTATTTTGCAACGGACCTTCCATCGTTTATGGGCTCATTTACGATGGGAAAATGAACATAAAGAGGTTTGGTGGCGTCTCACGGTTGATGGGGTGCCTATGTTAGGAAGTTTCCATCTCAGGATGTCGCGGCCAACAGTGTGTGGTTGTGGGGGTGATCCAGTACATTCCCTGGGAGTGTATCCCCTCGCTGTCATCACTTCTGGGCCTGTCCGGTGGCACAGGCAGTAGCGGACCAACTCACTCTGTCAATAGGATTGCCAGCGTCACGGGGACAACTTTGGCTCGTCCAAGCTCCACAAACAGTGCAAGAATGTGTTTGGGATGTTGTGGCTCTTGCTGCGGTGTCAGCCATGGAGTATGGGAGACGATATATGGCTGCAGCCATGAACACCAACTCGCACTGTTACCTGGCCCTTCCCTTACGGAAGGAGCCATTGATCGAGTTGCTGTTGACTTTTGGGGCCGCCTTCGGGGTTTCGCAGCGCTGGGAGTTCCACAGAAAGGTTGGGATTCTGTTGGCGCACATCACCCCTTCTTTCGAATTGTATCAGGCAAATTGCTATGCTCACGGGAGCGGTCACCGATGGACGATTAGCTATCATCTATCCTTGCTTCTATATTTGGATTCTTTTAATGGGGGGGACTTTTGGGGCTCAGGCCTCATTTAGTAATGGTTGTGGGTTCTGAGCCTTCCCTTTGGAGGCGCTTTTGGCTGTCTAGTTTCGTTCGCTGAGTTGGTGGCGGTGGCTGATCTGTCTCTACGGATGTCGGGTGACTGGATGAGAGCTGTGGTCTAGGTAGCAGGACCAAAATACCGCCGTCGGTTGTCCGGTGGAATCAACCTTTCAATGTATATGGTCCATGGCCTCCTGGCTTTGACGGACCCCCCGCAGTTGTAACTTGTAACTTGTCTAGATGACTTGCGCTGTCTCATCTGGGTGGGAGTCTAGTTAGTATGTTAGTCTCTAGTGCAGTACACGGCCAGCTGGCTCGCTGGCTCTGCTTTTCGTGAGTCTGGCCACGGAGCCCACTGTAACAACCACACACCACTTCGGTGATGAAAACACGAAGGGGAACGAGGGGCTCATTCCTTCAGGAGGAACCTTAGGTGTCCAAAGGTTATCCCTAAAAGGAAGCTTTTTTTGGAATGCTTCCATAACGATCGACACTCTACAAACAAACATTTATGATCTATCATTAGGCGTTCACACTAGCATTGTTTTAGCTACTTAGAAGAAAAGCGATTCCCAAGGATGTTTTTCCTAACCGAACATCTGTTCCTATATCAACCACAAATTTTAATCATTCTAAAAGCTAATAACCTATTCATCCGTAGTCCGACGGAAGGCTCGACTTAGGTTTTAGGATTCGACTTTGGTTTTAGAATTTACCATTTAACGATAGCGACGTGAATAGGGCTGAGGATGATCGGCGTTTACCAGTAAGGTGAATTAGTATTATTTCATGATCGATTTAGTTTTAAAGCATGCTTCCAACGATTAAGCTTTCTATCAACAAAAACCAAAGGGCTTCCCTTCATACCCTTCGATTCCCATCCCATTTCCTCGAGTAAAAACAAAGCTTTTCTAGTATTAGTATTCAAAACTAAAAAAATAGACCTGTAACCGAAAGTAGGATTTCGTATTTTATACATATACATACATTTATATCGAAACTGCGGCCATCGGCATGTATATAGTTAGTACGGGGTTCGCAAAATATGATGGACACAGAAGACACATCAAGAACTTCAAGACTCCAACCCGGCTCTCTCGGCCGCCTCTCACCCCACCCAGATTCGCTTTAAAGTTTTAGAGTTTTATCCCGACTGCTACTCCGTCCGATCCCATGCTATCTTCTTCTCCAAACGGGATTCCTCTTCATCGTCGTACGGTACGGTACCACCCAGCGGCTGCTCGCGGGCCATCAATGACACCTCCTCCTCTGGGATCTCTAGAACCTCAAATTGCACATAAATAAACTCCGGGCCCTGCGCTGCTACTGCCCCTCACTGCTAGATGGCCCTCACGGCTACTGCTACTGCTGCTGCTACCGCTGACTGCAGCCAATCGTCACCGTCGGCCCTCCACTGCCCCAGGTGCCACCGCCCTGGCCGAGTCCGTCACCGCGGCTACTGCTGCTGCCGCCCCGTCGCCGTGCTGCTGCTGCTGCTACTGCTACTGATGATGATGATGATACTGCTGCTGATGATGATACTGCTGATACTGCTGCTGTAACCGTACTTGCTACTGCTGTTGCCGCTCTTGGTTCTGGTGGTCTCGGAGCTTTCTGAGCCCCAGCCACGCCTTGCTCAGCAGCGCGTGCTCAGTCTTCTCAGTCAGTGCCCGAGTGAGCTCCACCTGATGGGTGCGGATAGGGAGTGGAGCCCGAGTGGGGGTGGTGGGGTGGGGGGGGGGTTGCGAGAGGGGTTGTGCGAGGTTGGGGGTTATGCCCCGGACAGCTAAACGACACGACGGAACGATCGCTCTCCGTACGACTCTCTGGTGGACGACGACCCCCCGTTATGAAAAAAACAGAACTGCCAAAAAGAACATCACTGGTGGTGCAAATCAGCACCTGCCGCCCATCCTCCCGCCTCCTCCTCCTGGGGCCCTCAGCCACCTCAGCTGGGACTGGGACTCAACCCCTCCACTAAACCATCTTCTTCAACCCCAATCGCCCCAAAAGCCTGCACCCCCGCTGCTGTACCTGTACTCCGAATCTGTCCAGCCAGTCTCCCCCCGGCACGCAGCCTAGCCGCACCAGGGACACGCACAGGTCGGCGCAGTCGCGGGCTCCCAGGGCGTCCAGGTCAGCCTCCACGGCCTTCGAGGGGTTATCGTACGTTACATCGGCACGTGGAGAAAGAGTCGGTCTTCGGGGAGATGTGGTGGTGGTGGTGGTAATGGTGATGGTGATGGTGGTGGTTACGGTGGTGGTGAACTGATGATAGTGATGGTGATGGTGGTGGTGGGTGCTAAGGGAAAAGAATCACAATCCGAGTCAGAGGAGGAGGGCTAGGCATTGGTGAAGATTTGTTCGCGATGAAAGGTTATGGAAGCTCCTGAATAGAAGCTCCCTCCCTCGGCAACACAGGCAGTGATGAGCCGTCTTCTTCCATGCTCATCATGCCGCAGGTAGCAGGCAGTCAGGCAGGTCGAGGGGGAGCGACACCCCCCTAGGAACCAGGCCTGGCGGCAAGAGGCAGGAGACAGAAACAGGCAGGCAGACAGACAGACAGACAGACAGACAGGCAGGGAAAGGCAGGGAAAGGCAAAGGCATTGCTGTCGCTGTAAACGCTTTCCTAGCTTCCCAGAAAGGTTTCGGAGCGCTCCCCTTCCCCAGGACCCCTCCTCACCAACAGCATGAGACGCATCCAGCGATCCGGGGGCGGCCGCGGAGGCGGATGGCGCGCCAGAGAGTACGACAACGCCACCACCTGCCCCCCAGATAACGCCACCGCCGCCGTCGGCGCCCTAGGACGACCGCCGCCGCCAGTGCCATTACCATTACTATTCGCTCCACCAGCGCCGCCGTACAAAGCCGCCGCGTTGGGATTGTATCCGTACGGCCGTACAGCGCCCGTGCCGCTGAGTAGATGCTGGGGCTGTTGGTAGTGCCGCCGCTCCTTGACCCGGCCTGTTGACCCGGGGCCCTGCAAGACGGGGCCGCCGCCGCCGCCGTCGCCGTCTTTACCTTGACGATCGCTGCTGCTACTGCCGTTGTTATCGTTAACACTGCAGTCGCTACTGCCGCTACGGGCCCCCGGAGGCCACACGGATTTCGCCGTCGATGGTGCTGGTTCCGACCTCGCCGCGACCGCCGCCGCCGCCGCAGCAGCAGCATCAGGAGAGATGGCGGCGCCGCCACGGGCAGACGAAGCTCGCACAGAAGCCTCGGAACTGAACTGGACGCCGGCGGCGGCAGCGGCGGCGGCGGCAGCGGCAGCGGCGGCCTGCGGCAGCGCCGCCGCCATTTGAAGATAGCTCGCTCTGTAGATAGACAGCCAAAGGCTATCGGGAAGACTGACCTCCAGAGGTGGCGGCGGCGGCGGTGCCGCCGCACGGGTCTTTGTACGACCGCCGACGCGAGTGCGATAGACGCTCCTGTCGCCGCCGCCGCGCAGGCGCTGCTGGGGCGCAGGTCGGCCGACAGCAAGAAGAAGGAGAGCGTCCAACAGACGGGAAATGTACGGCAGCGGCGCACTGGCGCCGCCGCCGCCGCCGCCGCCGCTGAGTGCACGAATGCAGGCGGTGAAGGTGGCAGGCAGGACACGGCTCTGCAGGCGCAAACACAACAAAACAAAATTCACAAAAGCCGCGTCGATGGAGCACCATGCCAGAGGTGTGGGTACTGCCAACCGAATAAGCCCCTAAGTCCTTTGCCACACGGAAATACACCAAGACAGCACACACGGATTCACTTCGCTTCACCGGCGCCCTCCTCCCCCCCCCACACACAAACCCTAGAGGACCCGCACCTGCACCACGTCACGCATCCAGGGCGCCGCTCGCGCCGCGTCCGTCAGCTCCGCGACCAGCGGCAGCAACACATCCAGCAGTACGGCTGGCGGCGCCGTCAGCAACTGCGCCTCAACCGCCGCCCCAAGGTGCGCCAACCAGCCCACCGCCGCCGATGATACGGCATCCCAAGTCACCGCCGCTAGAGCCGCTGCCGCTGGCGCCGTCGCCGTCGCCGCTACAGCCGCTGCCGCCGGGGCAGTCGCTACCACGTTGCTTGCCTGACTACCCGCCACTGCTACAGCTGCTGTCACTGAGCTGCGGGCTCCGGAACCACCTTGCGAAACCACCTCCGGATCAAGCAAAGCGCCTGGCGATGGCGGCGCAGGAGGAGCGCCCGGGCGGACGATTAGCAGTTCCGGCATGACGGCCGCCACTGCTGACGCCATCCGTACGGCATCCACCAGGCTGGATGGCGTCCGGCGGCTGGCGGTTTCGGTGGCGTTTAGGATGGCGGCGACCACCGAGGGGCGGGGTCGCAGCCGCAGCCGCAGTAACGACCGCAGCAACTTCGCAGCCTGCCGCGACGTAACCGTGGCTTGCCGTACAGCCGCATCATCACCTCCTCCGCCGAGGCGTCGTGCCGCCGCCAGCAACGCCGGGCCCAGCCGAGCTCGTACTAACCAGGACATCCGCCGCTGCCGCCGCCGCTGCCGCTGCTGCTGCTGGCTGCCGTCGGCGGCGGCGGCGCCGCTGCCGCTGCCCTTCTTCCCTACGTCTTCGTGTACGGCGGACGAACGGACCTGTGGCAATGCTCGTGCAACTCGACGTGACCCCTCTTGGTGCGGCGAGTCCGCTCCTCCAGCGGCCAGGGGCGTGGCGGCTGGGGATGGGCGCTGCAGCTCATCATCGCTTGGATCCCACAATCGGAGAGGTGGCGCTGCGATACGAGGTGCAAGGCGCCTTGGTCGCCTCAAGACGTACTGCATCGGCACACCGTATTTGTCCGACGGCCCGTACATCCGTACGGCTATGTACGACAGCTCACAGGCCAGCGAAACGAGCTCCCTGCATACCAAGCGTTTTGTTCATCACCCGGTTTCGCGTTTCGTTCGTTCGACAGCCAAATGAAACAATGTATTAGTGAGTTATGTGAGACTGTTTTATAAAAAAACCAATCCGCATAACTACGTGTCACAGCGAATGGCTGCAGCAACAGCAGTAGTAGCAGCAGTAGCAGCAGTAGCAACCACAACAACAACACAAGCAGACTCACGCACAGAAACGCAGTTGCTTAATCCCATTAATCATTCTTCGTTCCAAATCCAAATATTCCAAATATCGAAACCATAAAACTGCAGACCCTCAACCAAACTTTGCGCTGCTGCTGCTCCGCCGCCGCAAATGAACCCAACAATATAAAACTCCCCCAACTCCCAACAAAACACAACCCGCACGCAAACCCTCTGCCCAACCCTTTCATTCCCATCCCCAACCCCATCTCCCCCCCGACCGAGCCCAAGCCCCCACCTCGCGCTGCACCTCGCCAGCTGCGCCAGCTGCCCACGTTTCGACAGGTGCTCCAGTACGGCTGTCGCCAGGTCGGGGGCCAGGTGGAAGCCCAGACGCCGCAAACCTGGACATCAGGGGGGTGGGGTGCAGGGTGGGGGTTGGGGCTTAGGGCCACAAGGTATACAAGTTACAAGTTCCGCACACACACATACATACAAACACATACAAACACATACAGATACACATACAGATACACATACACACAAACACACACATATGGGGTTGTCCGTAAGAGCCGGGAGAGGGCCGGGAGGGGGCCGGGAGAGGGAAGGCACGCGGTAAGCAACGTATGCAATGAAACACGGGGATGTACGGTAAGATGTACGGAAACACATTGGGCCCAAGGAACGTATGTATGATGTGTGAAACAGGGGGGTGTATCTTCGCCCGTGGCAGCTACCCTGCGAAACCCTGCCTTCCCCGGTATTTCGGGGCACCCTCATCCAGTCACCCTAGTCAACTTCTCAGTGGATCGCTCAGGTTCCGCACCCACCACCGGCATCCAACGGAATCTGCCGGGTCGACTGCGGCCCAACTCCGTTCCTGGTCGGCTCGCAGGTTAACTTTATCCCGGGTCACCACCGTCCATCAACTAGGGGCGCTATGCCTTCCACCATCGGAAGGACTTTGACCCTAATGGGTATCGATCCCGGGATCTCCCGGGGGCAATAGTCGCGCCTTACCAGTAGTGCCAAACCCTATATGTGTATATATGTATGTATATGTGTATGCGATACCGCAGCCGTACCTGCCAGATAGGCGCACCAGTCCCGCAAGGCAACCAGCGGCGGACCGTGTTTCATCTCCGCCGCCGCCGCCGCCGCCCGCACTGCCGCCCGCCCCGCATTCCACAGCGCTAGGCGTAATCCCGTGCGTCGTAGGTCGGCAGGGAGTGGACATGGACCGGCTCCGGAACCAATGCCACGACTGCGGCGGGGGGGGAGGCGGCTTCGCCAGAAACGAGATCCGCCGGGCGGGCGGGAGGTGTGCTGCAAGCCCGCCATCGCCGACGCTAGCGCGCCTAGCAGCCGTACACTGTCGTACAACTTATCTGCAACGGCAACTGTCGTTGCGGAGGCCTCCCCCAAGTCGCTCGGCCTCCCGCCACTGTACGACAATTGCCGTTGCTGCTCCCGCATCTCCTGCGTCAGCTGTTGTACGGCCGGCCGTACAAGCGTGGCCGCCATGCGGTACGGCAGCATTGGCGGCATCGGCACCCGCAGCCGCTGCAAAGAGCCCGCAAGCTGCACCACCGTCCGCGGCGGCAACGGCGCCGCCACTCTGCAATTGCCGCCGCCGCCGCCGCCATCTCGCGTCGGCAACACGGGGTCCACTGCCGCTGCCGCCAGTACGACATTCCCCCCCGCATCCTCCCCCGGCGGTGTCACCGCCCGTACAATAACACCTTCCCCGCCGCCGACGGCGACAGTACCGCAGGTCCGTTCCACGGCGGCCCTGATTCGCCGCTGCAGCCCCGGCGCCAACGTCAGAATGCCTCCGCCGCCGCCTCCGCCTCCGCCACCTCCGCCGCTCTCCAGGGAGGGATCCAGCTGCTGTAGCGCCGCCAAGGACCACAGCAGCTGCGCCAGGGAGGACGGCGGCAGGCGACTGATGCGCCCGCGTACGGCAACAGCCAGCGCCGCCAGCAGCTCCTACGGCAATGTGGAGGTAGGCCAACAGAACGGGACGGGAATGTTCTTGTCTGATCTCCCCCGCTCTGTCCGTGGACCGAACCAGGACCGATGTGAACCAGGCAACATTGACAGACAGACAGACTGACGAGACGCGTCTGTAGGTATACACACACAAAGACCAAAGGAGAGCTCACCCACACGAGAGCGCAGGTACCGCCCCTTCGCACGTAATCCCCTGGCCGCCGTGAAGCGCACATTCCCCCGACATGCTCTGAAACCAAAGCCACAGGCAAAAGACATGCAAACCCGAAGCTTCCTGACCAACTACCCATTTGCAGCTCTCATGCCCCTCCTAACCTAATAACTCCAGAACTCTAAAAATATAAAAACTCCCAACTCCTAACTGTCGCTAACTGTCCTTCAGTACACTACAACCGCACACCTGTGGCGGCAGGTACCGCAATTTGGCGAGGGCCCACACGGTGCCGACCAGTACGGCATCCGAACAGCCGCCGCCGCCGCCGCCGCCGATACGGCCTGATGCGACGTCAGCCACCGTCTGGGTCGCCGTGGCGAGCCCCACACTGTCGCCGCCGCCGCCGCCGTTGCTGGCCGCGGGCAGTAGCGATGGCAGCAGCCGGAGAAGCAGCGCCTCCACGAGGCGTGCTGGCGGCCTGGAGGACATGGTGGCTTGCGTTGCATCCTCCACACGCGGCTGCTGCTGCTGTTGCTCTTGCATTAGAGGCGACGGGGAAGAAG